AGAACTATAATGATCATATAAAGGTGTGCCTTTACCTCATTGAGCTGAGGTTATCAGAGCCGCTCAGTCTTTCAGGAGAGAGCTCTCTAAAGCTCTCCCCCCTGTGACCGCTTACACAGTAAATTCCAATGTTAATAAAAGCAAACAGAATCTGTGTACGTTTTTTGGGAGTTTGATTTATTTTAAATTAATATAAATACAAAATTGAAACCTATAATTGCACACTAAAACCATTATTTCCAAAAAAATAACAATTTCACATAAATCTCTTGTTTTTACTGGGGCTGGGGCGGTTCAACTTGATTTTTGGGGGGGGGTGTGTGCCATAGTTTATGGGCGCTGTACGCAATATAGGCGTAGTTATGTTAGTATAAGATAATAAGATGTGTTTTGTTGATCCAAAATCGGGAAATTGTGTTGTTATGAAATTTCCCCAAAAATATTTTTTTAATTTCCAACTTTTTTAGTTTTTTTTTTCTCCCCAATTTTCGGCGCCCCCTATAGGTTGATGCGACCTTAGCATTCGCCTATACTGCCTATGCCGAGAGCCGGCCCTGCAACAATCTTAAATAATGTAGTCTTTGGTAGCCCACATTACTGTATATATGTGGACGAGCGTGTATTGCAGATTCACTTTTTGGGTTAAAAAGATTTAAACATTTTTACTTAATAAAATAACAAATGTATTCTCAGTTTTAAAACTTCAGAGTGAGATCTGTCGAATGCAGTAAAACAAGAGCTTGTTTGTATAAGGTGAAGAATGTGTCTAACAAAGGTCAATACAGCTAATCAATGGAAACCCTTTCCCTCATACTGCGGCTGTTTAACTCTCCCACAGTATTGACTTTAAACACTTTGGTAGTCTTAATGGATTTTTAATGGAACCAACCAACATGTGTTGTTCACTCAGTATGACTCAGCATTGAAAGGAGAAAAGTCGTTTTTATACACAACATCATATATATTGTACATTTGATAGAGATTACAATAGAGGGATTCATATTTTACTGTCAATATGTACAGTATAGCTTTTCTGTTTTGTTCTTATTTTCTCATTTTTAGAGTAAAGTGCAATGCAATGTGTACATGCAGCTGGGACATAAAAAAAAATCCCAAATTTAGATAAAAAATCTAATCTAATTTAGTCTTTTTGAAACTCTTCCCACAAGAATGGTATTTTCTTTATCCAACCTTTTTTAGTTTGAAATAGGTTGAACAACTAATAATTAATTCGATTTTTTATAACGTTGCAAAGGCACCAGAGACAGTGGTTGAATATATGAAGATGTCTTTTTAAATTCAAGTTTTAACTGTATACTAAAAGTGTTATGTATAATTTATTTAATTAAAGAGCCTCATTCCCGTGCCATATACTTTTTCTATGCACATTTTTACTTCAACTTCACATGTTTATACAACTATTTACTTTATTCTAATGTCGTGAAACTGTCACAACACTTAATTACAGCTGGAACTAATAAATGGGGTGAAGCCTGCGAGTTAGTTCAGGCAGTCAACTTGAGCACCAAGGATACATTTACACTTGACACATATTGTATTGTATTGTATACATTACATTATATTACATTAGGCTATGTTACTTGTTGGACGCTGTTATCCAAAGCGACTTACATACTGTGGACAATCCCCACAGGAGCAATATGGGGTGAAGTGTCTTGCCCAGGGACACAACGACATGATGACTGCAGTATGCTCCCCTGATCCGAACACCAAGGCACTAACCCACTGCGCCACACGCCTCCCATATAGGTATACACCTGTAGGCTCGGGGGGGATAGTTATCTAATCACTCAATGTTCTATGCAAATCTGTGGAGCGACAAGGCCAGAGCCTAGACGCCAAAATCAAACTATATGCTGCTTTTAATAAACATATCAAGAAGCACGTGAGTTGTCCGACTAAAAGTATATTCTGATTCTAATCGCAAGGACTTCTCTCCACCTGCAGATTCAAGGGAGGAATATGCTATTCAAACACCAAAAAAATCCTTAAAGTCAGATTGTTGTTATTCAATTAAATACCATCTGTTAAGTAGCCAATGATTAAATACATGTGCCCCCCTCTGTCCACAGGCTTATGGCTTACGACAGTCTAGACCAGGGGTGTCTGAAATACGGCCCAATAACTTATTAAGCATCTTGAAATCTACCCTTCCTATTTCCCCCTTATTATAAGCAATCTGAGGCTTCTGTTGTATGGGATGAGCAGCCAACACTGTTTGTAATACAATAAATGAAACCCTATGGAGAGCTGTAATGTAGGCTGCTTTTTTTAATAAAGCATATTCAAGTATCAAGCATCATTTTCCTACATTTGATTGATTTTAACTTATAACTTAACTCAGGGGTGTCTTTCAAGCATGGAAATAAGCTGTAGGGCTTTTTCTATCAACTAAGATTGACTGAATTTATTAGAAAAACTATGCTTATTAACACATGAACACTGTGTAATATTTTTCACATAGTGTATATATAAATAAAGAAGCACAACATAAGCTTCATGTTTGGCCGTATTACATTAAACTGAATAATTAGCTGAGGGCCATTTCAAAATGGACAACAGGCCATAGTTTGGACGCCCCTGACTTTACTTATTGAGGCAATGTACCTCACCTCTAGTAGGGGGCCCTCAGGGAGAAAGGTTTAGACACCCCTGCCCTAGACTCACTCAACTAAAAGTTGCCAAACCTCGTTTGACGTTTCAGATCAACAGACATTATACAAAAACTCACAATTTTCCATTTTCATCTCACTTTTTCCTTTATCAAAAAACATTGACGTTGTCTACATCACAGACAAGAATCATCAATATTCTGTTTTAAACAATTTCGCCATGAACAGAATAAACCCCATGCCCATCCCTCCCCTGGAGCAAACTCCTCTATACACAGTATACTTTACATAGTTTCCGTTCAGTCTTTTTGCATTTTACATCATTATCAAAGTAGTATCAACAGCTTTAAAATACCTACAATGCTCTTTTCCCATTGTAATTATACTCGATATCCTGATTGTACATACAGTATCATTTCCCACAGTTAGAGTTAGAGCTCTTTTCAACACAAAAAGGTTTCTGCATTTCATTCAAAACACTCGCAGAATTTGAATGACTCATACATGAGAGGGATTTCAAGCCGTATGTCATGAGAATGGAAACACTGCTTTTGAGCACAACATACATCAAATGGTATTTACTTGACTCCGCAGCTTTTATTCATGCCTTTCCTTCCTGTTGGACGTCAGTAATATAACTGTTACGTCTGCCCGAAATTGAGATTATGAGGTACAGTCAGAGAATCTCGCTAATCCCCAATTAGAAGGAGGGAATAACAAAGAGATTATAAAAGATCACTGTAACAAAAGAGGAACACAAGTTATAAAACCAGTCCATGTAGTTGAGTTGTTATACAAGAGTTTGGCAATATAGTTTCCTGTGTTGAGCACAAACTGTTTGGCAGTAGTGGGCTGTGCTCAATCTACCTGGTAGGGTTCAAAACAGTGATTTATACGTGCGTGACAAATTGTTAAAAAAAATCGAATTAGCTTTGCGTCACAGAAGCTCAGAGATCTCTATAAAACTTTGGCACCAGTCTTTCGCGAAGGAAATGTGTGCCAGGTGTTGCGCACATCTGCAATTTGAATACTAAAGAAATGTATGGAAGACTTTTTCAGAAGCTGGTTCAAATGTCTCTGAATGCATTGATTTCATTAATGACCACAGTAATGACAGACAAACAATGACACCTCCAGGATTAAAACACTCACATTACTTTTCATGTGTATCGGCATGTTAAGCATTTGTCAACTTATTTGGTTTGTGAAATAAAAAATCTAAGTGTGGGAAAAGCTACCAGCGTCAAAAATGCATCAAGAAAGCCTTCGTAGTTTCTACCCTGTATACAAACATCCAGAGCCCTGGACTGACTGCTTTGCTGTAAACCAACACATTTTCATTTCATGTAAGTATCAGTAACGTCACAAACTCTCCGCCAGTGGCTCTGGATACAGTACGCAACCTTTCAAAAGTAACGCTACCTTAAGAAAAAACACTTTTTTGGCACAGTGGCTGTCCAAGTGAAAAAGTGAGGTGTCTTTACATCATCTACTTATCGTTAAAGTAGAATTTCTTGAATTGTTGTCAGACTTTTTTT